TAAGATAATTCCCAACGATATTTGTTGTTGGCAAATCTTAGATGTCATAGGGAAAACACCTTTTCAACAAGAAAATTGTTGTTATAAATCATTGTAAGCAATGTTGTTGGCGAAAAGTTTTGCAACGACATTTGATGTCATTGTCAATACTTATACTTTAGTAGTAATAATTGTCTCTTTTATTTTGATACACTTATTATTAGTGATTTGTGGTAACTATCAAAGTCGTTATCATATTTCATGTATCTTAATAACTGTTATCATTGTGAAAGACGATCTTTCTCATCAATTAAATTTATTGGTATAAGATGATTTTTCTTAATGATTTATACGTTGTTATAAGATATATTTTCCAACAACTAAAAGTGTTAAAATAAAGTATTTTTCTCTAACAATGTTGATCATTGTTGTATCTTATCTTTTTCTTTATATAAAAAGTCACAACCATAAATTATCATTTCTTAACTTACGCCATAATGAATTTGTATATGAATATTAAATTTTAATTTAATAGCAATTATATGCTTATTTTTTTAAAATATTAATAGAAATAATTCAATTATCATCATAACTATTTAAATTAAATCAAATCAAAACACACACACATGTATATATTGAAGGGAATAAACTTAGCCAATTTCATTTATGATAAAAAGGCTAAAAACCTATTTTAGTCCCTTATAATAATTGTTTGTTTCAATTTAGTCCCATTTTTATTTTTGGTCTCAATTTGGTCCCTAATAAATTAATTGGTTGCAATGTCGGACTTCTGTCCAAATTATTTAGACGGAGTTAACTGTTGGCTATGTGGATACTACGTGGATGCCACGTGAAAGCCACGTGGATGTCAAATTTTTGTCATGTATCTGGAGCCAGAACGGGTCGTTCTGAAATTGGAACGGCTCGTTCTGGTTTCACTCTTCGTGCGTTAATTTTGCATCCGAAACGACCCGTTCAGGATGCAGAATTAACGTAGGAAAAGTGAAACCAGAACGGGCCGTTCTAGTTTTAGAACGACCCGTTCTGGCTTCAGAATGTCCCCAGTTAATAATTATATCCATAAATTTTAGATCTTGATGACAATACTTATTCATATATTTGTAATATTAAAAATTTTATATATAATTTTTTTAAGTATAAATATATGTTATAGTTATTTTTTACAAGTTGTTATATCTACAATTATGATTAAGGATGAAAATAAACTAGGTCAGATTATGTTATATTATAATTTAACAGATTTAAACCTAATTTTTTGTTAAAAAATACATGTTATAAATATTATATATTTATCTGTCATAGACATTTTTTAAAATGTTTGGTTACATAACAATCTTAAAAACTTACTTAATAATAATTTGACACTAATAAAAACATATAAATAAATATATATGTTAAATCTTATAAAAATTAAGTTTAATTTATTTATCATATAAATATGTTTTTAATATGTGATATAAATTTTTACAAGACTTAAATATGTTTTTAGTCCCTCAAATTTAGGGTAAATCTATTTTTGATCCCTCAAATTTAAAATTATTGTTTTTAGTCCCTATAATTTCAAAAAATCTTAATTTAGTCCTTATATTCAAATTTTGTTAAAAAATTTATCAAACATTATTGCATAAAATCTACCTATTGGTGTCCCTATTAGTGAAAATATCACATTAAATCCGGTTGATATTGCATAACTGTCTTAATTAGTCACTTTCAAATATGTTATTGGTGACCTAAGGGACTAAAACAAGATTTTTGAAAATTACAGGGACTAAAAATAACAGTTTTAAATTTGAGGGACCAAAAACAAATTTATCTTAAATTTGAGGGACTAAAAACATATTTAAGCCTTTTTACAATTTTAATTTTTTTTATCAACATAAACAATAAATAGAAAGTACAAAAGTTTGACAAATATCAGATAAATGAATAACTCCTCGAAATTTATATTTTATACATATGATAATTTAAATATATATATATATATATTAGAATATAATTTTTATTTTTTAAAATATATTATTTTTTAGATAAAAAAAATTGTGTATGTGTAAATGGTTTGTTTTTTATTTTTGAACTATATTGGTGCACTATGTTAGTTGGCATTCTGGAAGAGCCCGTTCTGAATCCAGAACGGTCCGTTCTGCTGCACGAGTTAGGGTTAAATAATGCATCTGGAACGTCCCGTTCCAGATGCAAAATTTATACACCATGAGTGCAACCGGAACGGGTCGTTTCGATTTCAGAACGGGCCGTTCCGGTTCCAGATGCATGACAAAATTTGACGTCCACGTGACATGTGCGTAGCTTCCACGTGGCATCTACGTAGCTTCCATGTGGCATCCACGTGGCCAATATTTAACTCCGTCTAAATAATTTGGACGGAAGTCTGACATTGCAACCAATTAATTTATTAGGGACCAAATTGAGACCAAAAATAAAAGCGGGACTAAATTAAAACAAACAAAAGGGACTAAAATACTATTTTAGCCTAATAAAAAAGACAATACATGTGAAAATAAAATAAAAAAACATAGGAGCTAGCATAAGATTGCAACATCCTTGTAAAGGAATGAGCCACTCGATTAGTTTAATTCCTAATGAACTTTACCACTAAATTCTAAGATGTGTTAAAAAACATTGGCATTTATTTATGAGAGAATCATATTCCATGAGAGATATTAAGGTTCCAGTAATGTCATCTACCACCTTCTTGCAGTCAATCTTGATAGTAACATTTTTAACATCAAGGTCCTTGAGCCATTTTACTATTTCTAGCAGAGCAAAAGCCTTCGCCTTTTGGGCTAGTGGTGAACCATGATATCAAAAGGTCTTGGCCTTCACAAGCATACCATGACTATCCCGAATGCATATTCTTAGTCCAAAGTAGTCATTTTTAGTAAAAATGGTTGCATTATAGTTGCATTTCAAGGTTCTTGCAGGTGACTTTCTCCATAAGTGTTGTTGAGAAATTGGTTATTGTTCCTTACGTAGAGTAGCTTGAAGTCATGGTTGTTACCATTCAAAGAGACTTTGTCCTTGCTAGGAAAAAGCATATGTTTGGGTGTAGAACAAATTCATTCCATATCTACTCATTTCATCTATGCCATAAAGGCATCATAATACAATCAGAAAGTCTTCAACTAATGGTTCAGGTAATCTACTAAAGAGCTTGAAGATTACAACAATTGTGTCTTTTGCTATGGGTAAGACACTCATTTCGTTGGTAGCCGTTGTTGGGTAGGAAGGAAACCATTCATCAATCTCCAGAGCATAAGTTTTAACTTACAAGGTATTTTCATGCGCCAAATCTTCATCCAATCCCTAAGGGCCTTCAAGTTGTTGTTGACAATGAGAGATTCCATTGTATAGTAGCATGTAGATTTGACAGTGTAGTTTCCATTTCTGCTTAAGTTACCATGAGAGATTCCATTGCATATATATATATAAGCATAATTGACAATATGTGAATGAAAATCAAATCAAATTGACATATATAAACATGAATAAATATCATACAATATTCTTTATATGATTAATGAGAAAAGTTTTGTTTCTCACAAAGAAAAAGCATACGATCAATAAATTACTAAAAATTACTACTACAACATTAATTCACTTTTTTCAATCTTGGTAAAGGATATGGTAAACCATCCTCATATATATACTCATATATATATATATATATATATATATATATATATATTTATATGTCTAATTTACATAATGTTATAGATAATCTATGTCTTACAACTCTTTTGATAAATATTTTTTAAGATATTTTTGAAAATATTTTTGAAGACATTTTCTTTTATAAAAATGTTTCGTTTGTTAACATTAAAACTTTAAAGTTTGAGAGATTCAAGATCGTCTTTTGACTTAAAAATAAATTTATAATACAAAAAAACAAATTATCAATATTTTTTACATTTTCACTACACTTAATTGTTTTACATTCTTTATTCTTATGAAATCAAGAAATCGAAAAAAAAACTCTAATAGCTATATTTTTACCTTTTTTTTTTTTTCATTTTCATGGTCGATTATTTAAAATACTTTAAATAAAATATATGAAATTTTTAGAAAGTTTTTTTATAAGATTTGTTTTTTCATTTTGGTTTGTGCGAATGTTATTATATATATATAT